TGTTTGCTCATGCACTATTTTATGTCATGCAAACATTAAAAACAACCTGAAATATTACAAGTATTAAATGTTTGTTCAAGAGCGGGTTGTTTGAATTTTCATCTTCAGCCAAGCTCAAAGGACACATTTTCCAAAAGTTCACTACCGGTCAAAAGTTTGAAATAATTATGATTTTTAAATGTTTTTGAAGAAGCCTCTTCTTCTCACCAAGCAAGGCTACATTTATTTGATAAAAAATACAGAAATACTGTGAAATGTTATAATTATTCAATTGTAATGTAATGAAGGATCAAGTGACACTGAAGACTGTAGTAATGGTAACTTCTTTCAAAAACTTTAATAAATCTTAATTATCCCAGTTTTAAACGGTTGAAACTCATGTCAGTATAAAAATTCAGTGAATTTATTTATTACTATAGTGATAATGAGCTGTTTTTGGTCTGTTTTCTCTTCGCCCACAAGGCTGTGAATCAGTCCCTCTGCTAGGTCTTGTTAAACACCCCAGAGCGGAAATAGGATATGGAGAAAGTTCCATAGCTTAAGTGGTCAAAGCACACCTCTTCCCCTTATCTACAGAGAATGAAAGCCACAGGAATGAAAAACAGTACTAGACAAACACGTGACTTGGCGAGGAATGGCTAGAGCATATAGGCACAGCAGGAAATGGAGGCGACAGATTTATTCATGCAAAAACAAGAGCAGATTGACGAACCTTTGGCAGTTGAAAAGACTCAAGTGTTTGGAATTGACAGTAGGAGATCATTGAACATTGAAAAGCATGAAACTATCATTGCAGTCCATTTGGAAATCACATAGAAGTCTGAAAGGAAGAGAACAATGGAACTGAAATGGTGCTCTGGGAAGTACGAAATATGAACAGTAACTGGTGATAAAAATTGTGACATTATTATATTAATTTCACAATTAGCTCTTTCAAAATCCATCCGTACAGTCCTAAAATAAAGCGAAGAGTGTTAAGACTTTCAATAGCAACTGAGCACAAGCCAAACCAACATTATAAACTTATATACAAACAACAAAGTTAGTTTAAATTGTAAGAACATTTCACAATATAACTGTTTTTACTATATTTTTGGTCAAATAAATGCCCCAACCCCAAACTTTTGAATATATATTTATATTTTGAATATAACTTTTGTATACACACACACACACACCAACTCCATTATGCTGTTGGCATTTCTAAACAGAGATGGCTGGTCGTTGTTTAGTTCTTTTGTCATTCATTTATTTTCCATGGCTCTATTGAATAAGTTAATATGTTATTGCTAAACATCAGTTTTCTTTATGGAGAAAACGAGTATTCATTTTTTTTTTCCCACCCGGAACCCAACAGTTGCACTTCAATGGAAAGGGCTGGCATGTTTCTTATGCAAATGTGGCATTGAATGAAGTTATTTTTAAGTGTACAGAATCATTTCCTGTGCGGCGTTTTGCTTTGATTCTAAATCTGTTTGCTCAGACTGCCCCGTCCTGGCACGGGCCGGGTGCCGATTGTGCATCCAGCCCTTTTTTTAAACTAAATAAATAAAACCACCAGATTACCAACACTACAACACATTGTCCTTTTCATCTGTTTAATTATAGCATATGTTTGAATGTGTGCACTAATGGTAAATATAGCCTGTATTCTCATGGCAGTGTGGTCACAGCTCAGAGCTAGCGTGAGGGTGGGCGGCAGTCGGCGTTTGTTCTGCGTCAGGCACTGTAGGGTGGAGGTGGGGACACACGCTGCCACAAGAAGCCAGACTTTGGCACGCTGTCATCACTGTTTCCTTCACAGAGCACGAGAGAGACGGAGGGAGGGAAAGCAGGCATGATGGAGCCGACAATTATCTGGCGCTCGCATATTCTTTTTCTCCTTGTGAAGTTGAGGACAGGAGGGGCTGCTCTTTAGAGTCTGGGGTCTCTACTGGGAAAAGATGTCTCGGGTATGACGGAGGAGAGAGATTGTGGGCATTTTTTGGAAAAGATTGTAGTTCCCAAAACAACAGCAACCACAGTAACACTCTACTTCCTGTGACCTATAATAGTTCTGGTCTATAAGGTCGATTCTGCTCAGTGTGTGAGTACTAAAATGACTCAGTCAACTCTTTTTTCTTTTTTTTTTAAAGGAGTTTCTATATGTGCTTTTTATGCTGCAATTATTTGTTTTGGCGTCCCGAGCGCAGTTAGCCAAACGTCAGCCATCTTCAAAACTAGATTTTTTGTTATGAAGTGCTAGATACCGCATTTTTGGTGATACCGTTTGTCCTAACAGAAACCACTTGAGCATTGCACTGTTGTATTGTATCTCTCTCAGACGATCAGGATGTTCGTTTATGTGTCTGATTGGCTACTGTAATAAAGTTTGGAAATGTTATTGGACTGTGTAACAAAGTTAAAGGTTCAGGGAAGGAGGAAGCAGGAACCTGTGAATGTTCAACATAACTTTAATAATAAAATAAACACAAACAACGAAACGAAAGTAAGCCCCTCACGGGTGACTGCCGAATAGACTAAGGCCTTGTCCACACTAATACGTTTTCGTTTGAGAAGGCATCTTGTTCTCTCCGTTTTGGCCTTCCGTCCACACTGAGACAGTGTTTTTATTAATGAAACGCCCTCCAAAGTGGATACATTTGAAAACGTCGTCGTTAAACATGCGTCATCGTTTTCAAATGCCTCCGTTTTCGCGGTCCACACTACAACACGAAAACGGAGGCATTTGAAAACGATGACGCATGTTTAGTCATGTGACGCATATTGTACCGCTAGATATTAATGTTTATACTGGTATTCACCTTTGGCTAAGCCACACCCTAGAATGTAGATTGACCAATCACAGCGCAGCCAAGAACGAGCTCCCACAGAGGTCCGACACTTTTTCACAGCGCTCCGTTGACTTTAACACTCATATTTTTGGTCTCGGCAGGCTATTACCATCGTAGTTTCATCAAAAATATGCTAAACGTTGTGCCTGGGGCATTTGTAACACAGATACGCGTTTCCCAGAGAGGTTGGAGGGGTTGTCCGTTTTTTTCCCTTCCCAAAACCGAAGTCAAATCCTGACAAGTGTCGTCTAGCTAGCACACGCTGCTAATAAATACAACGTTATACTCGCGTAGTCCGTTTGCTTTGTAATAACGATTATAGAAGTGAATAGAGACCTACCTAGCTTTGCATGAACAGTGTTGCTCCTTGATATTGTTAGTCCCAGCCTCCGTCTCGATTAGTAGGATATGCGGTGGTTCATTTTTTGACTGTGACCGGTATGCTTTTGCTTCTATTTGGATGCCTTGTTGTTCCTTGCGTTTCACCTGTATGTCGTGAATATAGCCTTCGAACGTATATTGCAGCCCCTTTTGCCTACTTCTATCGGACACTTTATTTGCTGCTTTATGAAAGTTTGATAAAATTTCAGCAGGAAGAGCTGTCACCACATAAGCCATGTTGATACCAGAGCCCAGATGAAGTTTGTTTGTCGGACGTAGCAACAGTAACTAAGGGGGGCGGGGCTTAGCCAAAGGCGAATTGTGCCTGTTATGTGCTATAAAGTTTCACACAGTTGCTAAAATGTTACTTTACACACTCTTCATATCACAGTCCTGCTAAGATGAAAGATAATGTACTCGCATTTGCTGTCCTGCAACAAAACATGAGAGCAGTTGCGTTTTAGACCAAACATATAATGGTGAGTGAGTGCGACCTGGACGGAATGGTGAGATATTTTGTTAAAAAATAAAATGATCCTGCCAGAAGAATTGCGAGAAATGTCTGTATCATCTCAGTGAGCTTTTGTACGCGATGAGCTGTGAGGGGAATTTAGTGTGGATGAGAAACTTTTGGAAAACGCCCTGAAAACGCTAGTGTGGACGGAGAGCGTTTTTAAACCAAAACGCCGTTTTCAAATATATCTGGATTAATGTAGACGTAGCCTAAAACAAAACACCAACGAAAAAGTCCAGGCCTGGTCTTCTTTCATCCTTCACTGCCGTCACGCCTACTTTTCTCCTTCCGGAGTTCCTCCGTGGGACTCAAGGCCGGCATGTTGCACAGAGGTGACTCGCTCCTTTCCCACTTCATATTTTTGTGGACACTGATGAAATAAAAAAAAATGCAGGATTCTTTTATGAATAGAATGTTGAAATAAACCACATTAATTTGAAATACAATTTTTTGTAACAATGTAAAAGTCTTTGCTGTCACGTTTTATCAATTTAATGTGCCCTTGCTAAATAAAAGGATTTCTTTAAAAAGTATTAATAAACATTTGAAAGGTAGTTTATAACAAGTGTATGTCTTATGACACCCTAAATCTTTTGTTTTGACTCAAAGTTTGATTGGGGGAGCCAGAACAGCCCACATATTGCTTGATAATGGTGCTGGTAATGATGATAATTATAGATTGCTGAATCTGTTTTCTATAATAACCAACCTCCCGCGACTTGACTTTTGGTCAAAACACAAAGTCGTTCTGTAGTTAAAAATGACCCACTGTCAATGTCTCGGAAAACCTGTAATTGCTTCCCGACCCGAAATAAAAACGGCCAGCATCAGATAGTGTGTTATGATTAACTGTGGAGATTTATCTCTCTTTCGAGACCACTGCTTAAAATGCACAAAATGGTTTTGCATGATTCTAAAAATACTGAAGTGTACTGAATACATATTTAGCCACTGATATTTACGGCAGTAGCTATGAATAGAGACCTGTAAAACTCAGGAACTGGAATTGTATGTGGACTCACACCAAGATTCAAACCAACAAAAGAAAAATAGACAACTACTGAAAAAGATAACTCGGCGCCTTGGGCTTGGTAGTTTTTTTGTTTTTGGACTATTGTTTTTGGGATGTGTGATTCACATGGCTAATGCTTACAAACTTTCACAGACCTTAGTTTCTGTGCTAATATATATATATATATATATATATATATACATGCCAGTGTAGAGAATATGGAAGTAAAAAAGTTACTGTGATTTCTTCAGATTTCTTCTTTATTAAAAACGTATATGTACATTTATAACATTAATTTTATGTTTTTGCCAATATACCATCCAATACTGATCCTAGCAGA